CTGCTGCTGCTGCAGCAGCAAAGAAACACAACCAATACAGACGAGCAGCAACTCCCTTCTGCTGCAGCAGACACAGCAGCACCCCAATAAGAGGCAGCAGCCGCAGCAGCAGCAGCAGCACCAAATGTAATATAAATGAAGGCAGCAGCAGCAGCAGCAACTCAGGAGAATAACATATACATATTGCTGCTGCACGCAGCATAGAAGGAGATAAAGACACACCCAGCTGCTGCAGCAGCTGCTGCAGCAGCTGCTGCAGCAGCAACTGAACTCGCTTCACTGGTAGTATAGAAAACAACAAACTGCTGCTGCTGCTCCCTCCTGCTGCTGCTGCTGCTGCTGCTGCTGCTACTTCTGTAGTAGTTCTCCGCCTGCTGCTGCTGCTGCTGCTGTTGCTGCTGCTGCTGCTGCTGGGGTTAGGTGCAACCCCGATTGCTGCAGCAGCAGCGGAGCTGAGTCTATGAAGCAGGGATTTGTTTGCTGCTGCTCCTGCTGCTGCTGCTGCTGCTGCTGCTTGCTGCTGCTGCTGCTGCTGCTGCTGCTGCTGCTCCTCTAGGGGAGAATAACCAGGCAGACAGTGCTGCAGCAGCAGCTCTGCTGCATCTAACCCAAAAGCAGCAGCAAGCTGCAGTGTTGCTGCTGGGGGTTTGCTGCTGCCTTTGAGTGCTGCTGCTGCTGCTGCTGCTGCTGCTAGTTGTTGCTGCTGCTGTTGTGCAAGCAGCAGCAACTGCTGCTTTCTCTTTTCCTGCTGCTGCTGCTGCTGCTGCTGCTGCAGCAGCACATCCACACCAAACAGAAGCCGCAGCAGCAAACGAATTGCTGCTGCTGCAGCACGAACTGCTCGCTGAGCGCATGCAAACAGCAGCACGCTGCTGCTGCCCCCCGTCAGCAGCCCCAGCAGCAGCAAGAATATAAACAAATGCTGCGGTGCTGCTGCTGCTGCTGCTGCTGCTGCTGCAGGCAAAGGCAGCAGCAGCAGCAAACCCGTACACATGCTGCACACCCCTGAACACACAAACACAAACAGCAGCAGCAACTAATTCAACAGCAGCAACAGCAGCAGCAACAGCAGCAGCAGCAGCAGCAACAACAGCAGCAACAGCAGCAACAGGAGCAGCAGCAGCAGCAACAGCAACCGCAGCAGCTGAAGAAACAAAAATACAGCAATTACAAAACCAACAGCAGCAGCAGCAACAGCAGCAGCAGCAAAGTTGCAACAGCAGCAGGAACAACAAAGGAGTACCAGCAGCAGCAGCAGCAGCAGCAGCAGCAGCAGCAGCAGCAGCAGCAGCAGCAGCAGCAGTGTGCTGACCTTGTATGAACCAAAGCATCAGCCAGCAGGTTAAGGAGCGAACGGCCCGCAGCCTTTTCTCTGTTCTTATTGCTGCTGCTGCTGCTGCTGCTGCTGCTGCTGCTGCTTCTTCTTCTGCTTCTGCTGCTGCTGCTGCTGCTGCTGTTTCTGCTGCTGCTACTTCTCCTCTTGCTGCTGCTGCTGCGTCGCCTTGGGCGTCATCATTCGAATCAGCAGAAGCAGCAGCAGCAGCAGCAGCAGCATCAGCAGCAGCAGCAGCAGCAGGAGCAGCAGCAGCAGCAGCAGCAGCAGGAGGAAGCAGCGGGCCGCATATGTTTACGTTTGCTGCAGCAAAGAAAAGAGAACCAAAGAAGGGAACCGGCAGCCACAGAGCAGCAGCAAGCTGCAGCAGTCTGCTGCAGCTCAGCAGCAGG